CGCATTGCATTACTAATTACTAATCGAGTCGCATTATAACTCAATCAAGAGCAGCATCACTTGAACTCGTATGTTAAAAAATAATAATGAATGGTATATTACTTCAAAGGACACCACAAAACAGCTGAAAATCTGCCTCTTTAAATGCTAGCCACAATTTCGCGGCATAGACTGTCTGATTTGGCACTGTTTAAGCGCATTGCGGTTGCCAAAGCCTGGCAACTCGGTAGGACTGTGGCAAGTGCCACGCGGCTTTTACCTTTATTTTCGGTTAATTTCGACTTAGCCAGCCCTAGAGGCTGGAGGAGAGGCGAGCAGGTTGACAACTTGCCGCCCAAAGAATTGTCAGAACTAACAAGCAACGAAGCGCAGAAGTTGAAATGCGTAGCATCCGCAGTCCTTCTCTGTCTCTCTCTTACTCAGTCTGGTCTCTCTGGTCCGAATGCTTTGCAACATTTGTGCTTAAACTTGTTCACTTTGGTGCAGCCGCAAACATTTTCAGGCTCCTCCTATTCGCCTAATTTCCGTCTTCAACGATGTCGTTTTGCCGCTAATTGCTGCGCTCAGCGCTCCACAATATCTATAAACGGCAGCCAACAGGTGAAGGGGACCTTCGAGAGTTGTTTCTGCGGCTACTACTGTTGTTGTTGTTGCCTTTTAGTGTGCGACTTAAAGTACAATAAATCTGTTTATCTCTGTGCCACAAAGCCATGGCTGTCAATTTGAAGAAGGACGGCGGCACGGGCGGCAAGGCGTTGAAAACTTTCGCTGGCGGTTTCTAAATCATATTTGGAGCTGGCGTTTCGAGGCGATAAAACTTTGTTATTCGTGCACAAAATGTTTTGTGGCTTGTTTAATGTGTTTGGCAGTTTTTGGCGCGATTCGAGTAGATTATCTGCGACTGGTAGCAAAAGGGGTTAGCATAGCATTGAAAAGTGTATCAATTGAAAAATTGCGTATACGCAGCGTTGCATGTCAATGACTGATGGCCGTCAGCTTCCGTTAGGTGGAAGCAAAAAAGTGGTAGCCGAGAAAATTGGCGCGCGATGGAAAATGAAAATGCACAAAACCATGGGAAGCCTAAGCTGCAAAATAGAGAGCAAGGTGTTTGAAAACTGCATTTGAAAAAGGGGAGCCTGTTATAAGAGCCCTGTTGTGTCCTGTCAACGCTTCCTTCTTTTTGCTTTTGTTGCTGTTGTTGTTGTTGTTGGACTTGCCTTTGAGGCTTTTATGCTGTCGTGGTAACGCATTTGCGCTTGTCTCTATGTGGTCTGGGTTGACGATGACCATCACCATCACCGACACTGACACCGCCGCTGCCACAAACGCGCCATCAATTGCAACCACAATGGCAAAACAATCAGGAATGTGTGGCTGGAGAGTGAGTACAGTAAAGAATGCTTAAGTGTTGCGCTTGATAGGAAAAAATAGTAAAATACGAAATTGAGGAAGTGGCAACTGTTGAATTAATCTGATGTCCATAAATACACTCAGTAAGGGTAGTAAGTAAAGCTAGCATTTCATTCATTCAGCATAAATGAATACTCCTTGAATTCAATTCAATAACGTTTAAGAGAGTTAATTGAAATATGATTCATATGTTTGCAGTATTCCTTAACTTATTTTTATGAACTATTAATTAATATTTACATGCGATCCCATCTCACTTTCTAAAAATTCTAGTCAGCCATTAACAGAATCTTCTCTGACTATTGAGCTTGCGTGGACAAATTATACAAAAACCAGCTTGTTTCGAAAAGAAAGTTGACATATAAATCGAAAGCGGTTCAGGAATCAGAAAAGCTCTAAGCTAGGTCCGAACTTGTTCGAAATTGGCTTAAAAATATATCTGCCAGAGTAGTTGATATTAATAAGTGTGCAATTTTTTGTTAACTGTACAGACTCTATATTTTGAAAGCAATGCAAAAACAGTTTAATAAAATTTGACTGATTTAGAAACTTACTGATCGCTTGAAGGGAATAAACAGTTGAATATAATTTTATATTTTTATGATGAACCACAGAATGCATTGTTGCATTGCCATATAAATTGTATTTATTATTATTTATAAGTTTTCGATTTAAAGTTTTTATAAAATAACGCAAATCAGTTATAATTCACAAAAATCCAACAACAAAAAATGCAGTAATATTTATCAAAGTCTCTAAAATTTACAATTTAAGTCAATTATTTTTACAAAATATATTTAAAATTTTTAGTATTATTATCAAATGCTTTCCTATCAATATTCAAGGAATCCCTTGGAATTTCGATATAGCTATGGATATCTAAGGCTTCTCCTCCACATTGAAAGCAATTCCTGAATTGACTGTCAATGCAAGAAACAAAAAAAAAGCAAAAGATTGTTTCTTTCTGTTCTGCCGAAATAACTTTATTCGCTGAAACTTCACATTTAATATGAACTTAAGCAAAAGTCAGTAGATTAAATTAGTTGGAGAAAATGTCAATTAAAAACAGCTAAAAAATCTATATAAAATAAGAAGAATATTTTGAAATTATTTATATATTTTCCTAAATATTGGCGTACCTTTCCAGGCCCTTCATTTATCATTAGCATTAAATTTATTTAGAACTAATATGACTAACTAAAAAATTGTTGAATTAAATTTAATAAAATAATTTAGTGTTGTTATTTTGCTCAACACTCACTGTAAAGAAAATGGTGTTTGCCCATTTGAGGCAGCTTGCCAAACTTCTGGCACTCTCTAGGCCACAAAATGATTTGTTTTGGCCCGTGAAGATGGCGCTGTTTTCATCGGCTGGCATCTCACGTGTGGGCCGTGTGGTTATAAAGGTGTGGAAATTGCTTCACTCCCCCACAGACAGACTGGCAGTCGAGTGGCCTGTGCTGGGAGCATAACAAAACTTGGCCAAGCCGAACGAATGTAGAAGTTGTAGTTTCTAGCATGTTGTTTTAAATCTGTTTTTGGCCATCGCTCTCTATGCTGATTGTTAAACTAATTTGCACCAAAATTGAAATCACTATTTGCCAGACTTGCACTTCAATTGCCCAAAGTTTTAGTGTTTACTGCAACTTGGAAATTGGTCAAAGACTTTGATTAAGTTTACTTTGGAAGCGGAAGTGGTGGCAAATGGAACAAGACCCAAGTGTTGTTATCTGCAGCAACAATTGACAGCAGATTCCGTGTTACTTGTGTAAGTTTAAACTTCCTGCAGCTGATGTTGTTGTTGTTGTTGCGGCTGTCAATGCCAAGTGTTTGCACCTCAATGCCTTGCCCCAGCTCAAGGAAATAACGTTTAGTGCGAGAAATTCAATTTTGAATGCATTTCAATCGAATTACGGCCAAAGTTTCATTTAATTCACATTATTAACACACCTCCAGCCTCGAACGCTGTAAAAAATGACTAAATAAAGCGCTCAACAACACACCTTGCCCATTGATTTATACCGATTTAATAAGCCCCCTCCCCCCACTCCCTGCCGGGGGCAATTGAGTCTGCAAGTCCTCAAGTTTCGCAGGCACTGACACCTTTTGTCAGACATTTTGAGAACTTTTATTGAAACGATATTTTAATATATTCATTGCACAAACTTGACGCTAGTAGCAAAAACTAATAAAAAGCACAAACTAGCTTGTGGGCGGTGGCGGCGGCGGCGGCCAGAGGGGCGTGTTCGCATGGGCCAGTGGCTCCAGCCATGGCAGCTGCTGTCGGTCTAAAACTTTGGGCATCAAGTGAAAAACAAGTGGACAGGCAGCTGATGTTGATGGCAACGATGACGATGGCGATGGCGACAGTTTTTAGTGCGCCGTGTGTTGCCGGTAAATTGCAAGCAAAAGTTAACGCTAGATGGCGACAGTAACGGTGCAACGGGAGCAGCAGTTAACAATTTACTGGAGTACCTAATGGCTGGCTGCGGCAGTAGTTCCTAAATCTGGACAGCATTCCATGCCCATAAATGATCAATTGAAAGGTTATTGAGACTTTGCCAAACAATGCAAGTCAAAGTTTTCAAAAAGCTATTCGATTTCTTGTACGAGTGCATATATAATGGAAGGGTTTTTATACCCTGTTCCCAAAGGATAAAAGGATAAAAGTTGTTTAGTAAGAAAGTATGTTCACATAGAAGGCAGCATGGCTGACCCCACAGTGTATATATTATTTTGATCATTATGACAAGCATAGTGGATATAGCCAGGCTCGCATGTCCTGTATCAACGAAAGGATCTCAGAAAATATAAAAACTACAAAAACCACTAATGATATTCACGTTCTTGTAGATCCGAGAAAGAACAAGTTTTTTTTCCTTTCTTATGCTTCATCCGATGAAGCGCCATTGGCAGTCCCTCCTAGTGAAAGGTATTGCCCGGTATTGGAGATCAATTTAGAGAGCGAATTATGAATCAGTCAGCATCTTCCATCTGCTTCGGGAGTCCATTTTCCGCATTCTCCAGTGAAACAATCCTCTGAGCCCTATCCTATTTGTAAGTAGTGCTAGATCATCTAGATATGCATCGTTTTCTTTGGGCATACTTCTTTCACCTGAGAATGCTTCAATACTGAGAATAATTCAACAATCAGTCTGAAAAAATATTTACCCTTAGGGGAAAAGGCATATTCTGTAAGTTTGGCGGTTTTTTTTTCCAGATTCTTGGTTTATATATGCAATTAAAATCAATGCCTTTTCGCTAAAACTTAAGATTTTTAATGATATTTTAACCCCAAGTAATATTTTGTGCAATAAAGCACTTTTCCAGCAAAAAAGACAACCATAACAAACAGTATTCGTGCTACAAAATTGCAAACTTTTCGCACAACAGCCATTGTTGATACTCCTCTTGTCCTTCGGCAGCCCTCTTGGCTTCTCTCCAATACCCACTTGGCGCCTTAGTTAGATCTTAAAAGTGCGCCTTTGAACTCTTTTCATCGTGGGCTTGTCTGTCTCTCACAAACGATGCTGTTCTCTCTTTTTTTACGCCTTCGAATTATCTGTCAAAATCCCGCAGTTAGCAAACACTTCTGTTTTATATTAACTCAACATTTTGTAAACACATATTTAATTTTTCTTTAAAATTCAAACACAAACTCATTACGAAATTATTGTGTATATTGGTAAGCCAACTTGGCACTTGCTCGCATCACCTTTTCGGACACCCCTTCCCCCCATCACGCGACCAGCAAACTGTACGCCCCAAGCTGCCGATTCGGTTTGTGTCTGCGTCTGCGTCTGTCTGTCTGCCCTTAAAGAGTCTGTCTGGGGCTCGTTTCACAAATTAGATGGGTCGCGCAAATGTTGACTAAATTCCTTATTGATAAAATGGACAAAAAGGCGCAGCAGCAACAGTCGCAGCACAAACATCAGCAACAACAACAACAGCAGCAGCAGGCGCGTTCCAAAATGGCGGTCCCAGAGGCGGCATCTTCCAAGACAACAGCACCAGGAGTCTCAACAGGAACAGGAACAGGAGCAGGAACAACTACAATATCCACAACCGCAACACGTGTGGTGACACACACGGCTGGCTCCGTAAAGACAACCTTCAGCACACAGACCACAGTGCATAGCAACAGCAACAACAACCACAATAGCAACAACCCAACCAGCAATAACAATGCCGCCAATACCAATCACAAGAGCAGGCGGCCAGCAGGTGAACAGTCAGTAGCGACAACAACAACAACAACGCCCAAATTTCCAAACAGCAATGTGCGATTCCATTACGCACAACCAGGTAAGACTAGAGACAAACCACTTCTGGAACACATTGATATTTATCAAAAGCTTCAATTAGCAATACTATGATGAAGCAATCAAGAGAACCAGTTTTGATTTTAAAAGCAATTAAGGCACATCTTTCAGATTAGGCACTGAACGTTCTATTTTTTAGTAGCATATGCCGAGATAACTTAAAATATAGTATTTATTTCCAAAGCTGTTTGCCTAAAATATTTCACCAGCAAGTGCAACATTTTTTAAGGTAAAAAAGTTGAATGTTGAAAATTTATTTAGATACATCTAATTCTGTTTTTACACGGTTTTTTTTATATATGGTTACACGACTTTATTCCATTTAGCACGATTCATTGTGCATTGATCAATATCTTTTTTAAACGGTTTTTTGCACGTTTTTATACCCTGTACCCAAAGGGTACAAGGGTATATTAGTTTTGTGCGAGTGCACATGGAACACACAGAAGGAGGCTTGGTAGACCCCACAAAGTATATATATTCTTGATCAGCATGACAAGCCGAGTCGATATAGCCATGTCCGTCTGTCCGTCTGTCTGTCCGTCTGTCAGTCTGTCCGTCTGTCCGTCTGTCTGTCTGTCTGTATGAACGCAAGGATCTCCGAAAGTATAAGAGCTAGAATAACCAAACTTGGTATACAGATTCTCCTGAGACCGAGAAAGGACGAGTTTGTTAATTTTTTCTGATCCGCCTCCCCACTCCCCCCCTATTACTGATTTTCTATAACTCCCGTAATTCTTGGAATTTTGAGCTAAAATTTGGTAGTCACATTAGGTTAGTAATTATATATCCGTATACCAAGTTTCATTATGATAAAATGATCGGAAAGAAAGTTATAGCCATATAACCAGGCCCAATGCACACATACATACATATGTACAAGTACACAAACACGCATAAGGCACGATTCTGATGTAAATGTAAATGTATGTATGCATGCATGGAATATTTTATATTTAATTAGTTAATATTTAGTTAATTAATTAAATTAATTTAGTTAATTAATTTAATTTAATTAATTAATTAATTAAATTACTTTTTTGTGGGGTGGTACAGGGTATTTAAGAGTTGAGCCTGCTCGACTTTAGCATTCCTTTCTTGTTTTTGGATAATATATCGTGTAAAAACAGAATTAGGCGTATACAACTTTTTATTGAGCTTTTAAATCATATAATGCTGCTTTAAAAATTTTTAATAATTATTTTCTATACTGTTTCAACTAGTCAGCAGTATCTTAAAATACACACATACGTAAGTCTACTACAAGTATATATCGAAAGCTAATTTCCCTTTGAACAATAATACTGTTTTGTATAAATAAAACTTACATCTTAAGCTTAAGTATTTTATTGAAAGAGTATAAGAGTATGAGGGAAAAAATGAAAACAAATATTTTAAAATACTTATTCTAAATGCCTTCAGTTGTAGCATTTAAAGAAAACTTCTGAATTTAAAATTTCCTTGGCATACAAATAAACTTTTAACTTTTTCGGTTAAATTTTTGAACATGCGAAAGACATTAAATTTGACTACTGAAAAGTCTAACTCAAATTCCCAACTAATTAGCATTCCAACATCAAACTGCTATCAGTTTTTATTTATTTAAAAACTCACATTGTTATTAGAATTAAATACGGAATCACAACTCAATAAATCATGCATTTTCCTTTACATTTATTCTTTGTTTCAATAACTACCAGCACTTAGGAAATATATTTTGAAGACTTTTCTATCATAATAAATGCTTTTACTAAAGAAAAGCTGTGAGTAGCGTTCAACTCATTTATTAAGACTTTCGAAAAAGACAAAAAGCGGTTTTCATAACGTGATTCAAATGAGTATTATTTTTCCATAAATAAACAGACAACTAACAAAGGTTTTAAGCAATTATTGTCCCTTACAAAGCCAAGAAATTTTCAAAATTGGTTTATCGATTAATCAAATTTGTAAAAAGAACACAGTTGATCATTTCTCCTTCGATAAACATTAATGAATTGATCGAATAACGTGATAACGTGACTCAAATAAATAAATACGCATCCATCCATATACATTGATTTCTATTTGCCATAAATAAACAGACAACTAGCAAAGGTTTTAAGAAATTATTGTCCCTCACAAAGCTAAGAAAAATTTCAAAATTGGTTTATCGATTAATCAACTACCTAAAAATAAACGGTTGATCGTTTCTCCATCGATAAACATTAATGCATTGCTCGAATATTGATCATTAAACGACCATTTATTTCCATAACGTAATTCAAATAAATAAATGTGCATCCATCCATATACATCGATTTCTATTTTTCCATAAATAAACAGACAACTAACAAAGGTTTTAAGAAATTATTGTCCTTTACAAAGCTAAGAAAAATTTCAAAATTGGTTTATCGATTAATCAAATGCCTAAAAAGAAACGGTTGATCGTTTCTTCTTCGATAAATATTAATGAATTGAACGAATACTGACCATTTTGTTAAATGAACATTTATGTAATCATGCTTCAATGTCCTTTCACATCACTAGGGGAGAGCGCACCAACGACAGGAGCATCAGCAACAGCATCAGCAGCGGCCCCTTTAGGCCATCAGCATCTCAGCTATGTGCAGGCTGGAAATCGATATTTTCCCGCCGGACGCCCGATAAATACCACAACAGCGCTGACAGCGCAAACCCCACTCGCAACGGCACTCGCCGCAGCAACTGCTATGACCAACAACAACAACAACAGCAACAACAATAACAACAATGCAAACAGCATTACGGTGCTGTCTCAAATGCAGAAGGCGAATGAGCTGACGGATAAGCTCCAGCGCCTCACGCGCCGCAACGCCATGAAGGAACTGTCGGCAATGCATGCCCGCTCCCTGCAGGCCTACGATAAGAATGAAGAGGCGCTGCGGGAGCTGCAGGAGAGTATTCCCGAGATTGGAAAGATCTTCGATGTGCATTGCCGCATCGGCAGTGGAACCTTCAGCACCGTCCTCCTGGGCACCCTGCAGCGAGAGCGCCAGCTGGCGGAGTCGCATCGACGACGCTTTGCCATCAAACATCACAATCCGACCAATCATCCGGAGCGCATCCTGCGGGAGCTGGAGTGCATGTTCAAGATTGGCGGTGTAGATAATGTGATTGGGATCAACTGTTGCATACGCTATAACGACAATGTGGCCTTTGTCATGCCCTACATGAGTCACGACCGCTTCCACGACATCTATCGCAACATGAGCCTGACCGAGGTCAAGGACTATGTGCGAAACTTGCTGATAGCGCTGCGACATGTGCACAAGTTCAACGTGATCCATCGGGATGTGAAGCCGAGCAATATTCTGTACAATCGACGTACGCGACAATTCCTGCTCTGCGACTTCGGCTTGGCTCAGCACATATCCAGCGAGGGACGTGTGATTCAGGCGACGGATTTGAACGCTTCTGCGGCGGCCGTGCTGATGCGGGACATGGATGCGGCTCGACAGCAGCTAATGATACAGGAGAGAGCTGCCTCGGCACTCACCACAGCGCAGCCCACCAGCTGTCAAGCCGAGGTGGATGCCTATCTGGCCGTCAGCAAGGAGCAGGACATGCGACGCATGCGCGCCCTGGGTGGCGGTGGGGGCGTCGATCGTCCGCTAGAGGTGACTGCCCAAGCCCTGGAATACCGACGCATGCAGCCGCTGGCGAATCTAACTAAAAAGGAGCAGGCCCTGCAGAAGGCCGACACCGTGCGGCTCATCAATCGGCTGCGCTACATGGCCAATAATGTGGATCCGAACAACTATGTGGTCTCCACCAATGCCACGCACAAAGAGATGCATGCCTCGAGGGCGGGCACGCCCGGCTATCGACCGCCCGAAGTCCTGCTGCGCTATCCGCTCCAAACCACTGCCGTGGACATTTGGGCCGCCGGCGTAATTCTGCTCTCACTGCTCTCCTCCCTGCATCCGTTCTTCAAGGCGCCCAACGACTGCGCCGCGCTCTCCGAGATCATGAATCTGTTCGGAGATCTGAGTGTGCGCAAGACCGCCTTCATGCTGGATCGCTTGGTCCTGCTAACGCAGAAGGTGAATGCTCTGGATCTGCGTCGGGTCTGCATGCGCTTTCGCTATGCCGACTTCTTTCTCTCCCCCGAGATGCATCGCCGCTATAGACGCGGCAACGGCACCACCGAAATCTGCCGCAACTGCGAGCAGGCCACCTTCAATTGCATTTGCAAGCATACGGGCCATCGCATCGAGCCGTACGAGGGTCTAGACATATTTCCAACCACGGTCTACGACCTGCTCTCTCGCCTGCTGGAAGTGAATCCGATGAAGCGCATTACAGCGGACGAGGCGCTCAAGCATCCCTTCTTCAGCGATCACCATAGGCTGCTGGCCGATCACCCGCCTCTGTTGGTCCCAAAGGAGACTCTGCCTATGGCAGCGGCGCGAACCCTCAAACGCTATATCGATACTCCCCTGGCGATAAAACCCACGGCCGAGCCAACAGCTACTGGCAATGAAGCGTCTCCTGATGCTGTTGCTCCAAATCCTACAGGAGGAGTTGCTGGTGGTGGTGGTGGTGGTGGAGGAGGATGTGGATGTGGTGCAAATGGCAACGTCAAGTCGACCAATGTCTGAGCAAGTATATATACGCTATGGAACCAGATGCCATTTTTGAGTATTAATTCACGTCCAACAAATTCCAAAGAAATGCTCGAAAGTGTGCAATTATTTGTAATTTCAAGAAATTTTTAAAGTGCAAAGCCCAAAATTTTATTCAAAATACATATATTGATGTGCATTTTAAGAATGTGAACTCTACTCGTATATTAATGTGATATTTCGAAGTTGATGAAGTGAGTCGAAATACATATATAAATGGTAAATGGTATTACGTGTATAGGCAACTAACAGAATACTTATACCTATATACTAAGTATGTACATATATGAAAGAAATCGCAAGTGTGAATTCTTGATTTTTAGTATTATGTTACACTGTTTTTCTAATTTCAAATCAAATTCATTCCAACTTTGCTTCGGACTGTAATAGTGTAATGGTGTTTGCCAAGAAATTGCGCTCATTAAAGTCAATTTCTTTGACGGTATAATAAGAAGAGTCGATATAGCCAGACAGACGTAGATAGACTAAGCATATATTACATAAATATATGTAGTATTATTGGTTTCTTTTTTTATTAATTCAGAAAACTGTTACGAATAATTGCATAATAATTCAATTATACATAATTGTTAAATATAAAACAATTTTCGCATGCGGATTTATTGCTCCATAGAAATAGTACTGAAAATTTATGATTATGAGTTTCAAAAAGCTATCAAAATGATTGCAAAATTAAAAGCGAAAGTCCAAGCTTTTATATTATTATTTGTTTACTCAATGTTTGTTCAGCCATGGTTCCAAAAATCATACCCGTATGCCAAGCACAGACAACAAATATAATTTTTCCTTTCATCTCACACAATTGTGAAGAAATGTGTATTTGTAATATTTAATTAAAATCATGCAATTTAAAAGCTTACTATAAAATGTAAATACTGAAATATTTCACAACAGAAAGAACAAAAAATTTCTATATTATATATTTTCTATTTATGCATTTCAGTTGCAAATGTGTCGTGAAATAAATATTAAATTTAGTTTTTACAAAAAGTGTCGCGGTATTGCACGCTACAGTAATTTGTAAGTAGACATAATTGACAATTATTGCCATAAAATAGAAACATAATACAGCGAGACAAATGAATGCCAACGAAATACTTAAATACGTTTAAAAAGCAGGTCTACGCGACAATAGTTTTACTTAACTAGATAGAGAAACGGTCTAGCAAACAATTAGAGACAATGAGATACTTTTTGGTTATCTACGCGCTATTCGCACTCTCCACTTCATCGGCCATTCGTCCCCGTTAGTAAAGCAATGAAGATTTTGACAAAGTCTATAGTTCTTCAGTTTTACAGATACTTGCTTCAAGAAATATGCTGTGGTAGGACCATGTGACGCGATAATTGAAAGATGGTCCTATCATAAAGAAACTAATGAATGCCACCTTTTCATCTATGGAGGCTGTGGCGGCAGCGAAAATAATTATTTAACCAAGCAATTGTGTGAAAGGACTTGTAAAATACTATACAAATGATTACTCGTACATACATCGATTGTTTGTCGGGGTATTTTCATTGAAATAATATTATTAAGTAATAATATTTAATAATAATATAAATAGTATATATTAATGGAATGAAGGGGCTTGTTAAAGTGAAAAATACAGGTGAATTGAAAACTACCTCTTTTTTTGAAGTCGTTTAAAAATAAATCTTAAGGCGCGAGCTAAGCCCACGATAGAACTAAAAAATCTCAAATAAATCCAGTACCAAAAACAATAAACTGATAAAGTTTCTAAAAATTATAGACAAAGACATTTACAATACCAAGTTTTATACTTTTTTCTCGCAATTATTATGCAATTTTTCATAGATGTTTAAAACTTTTTGGTTTATAAATGGTTTTGGTTATAAATTTGAATACTCCAGTAACTTGATTTAAAATATCTTTAAAAATCTTTAAATGTCTGCAAATATCTTTACAAACTTTAGTTCTCGTCGCCCTGCTATGATCGAATTAATTTGAAATTTTCAAGCAATTATAACACATCGGTTATTAATTTACTTTTCTAATTCACTTTGTTTTAACACACTTCAGAGCATGGCCAACTGAAGTTGGGTTGTTTAAAAATTAAAGTCTCCATTTTGCTCGCTTAGAAAATCATTTTCCATTTTCCATTTACCAACTTGCCTTTCCCCCCCTCTGTCTCTCTTACAAGCAAACAGTCTGGGGTGGCGTTCAATCATTTAGACAGTCATTTTCATATTTTACGCCAGCTATTTTTCCAATTGGTTTATTGGTTTGCACAACCAGTTGTGCTTGCGTTCTTATTTTTTATCAATTTGCATTATTGACAAGCAAATAGTTGTTATTGTTGTTGGTGTGGGTATTGTTGTTGTTGTTCCACAAGTAGAGAGTGCAACATTTGCTTGCCAATGCAATTCTTTATTCAGTTGAATAAGTTTTTGTTTGTTTTTCTTCCCCGTTTTTCTTGAGCTGGCATTTGACTTTTTATTTTTTTGCTTACCTCGCCAACATCCTTCATCCTCCATCCTACTGTGCGAATTATGTTGACAATGGCATGCAACTTGGCCCAAAATAGACATCATAGTCTTAGTTATGCCCCATACTAGACTGCCAAGGCGAACCTAAAAAATGTCTACCGTCTTGGCTGCCATCTTTTGCCGCCACGAGGCAAGTTTGCTGGCAAACTACCAAGAAGCGAAAACTCGTCCCAGCCGTTGCATGTGAGGCAAATAGTTTATTAAAAAGTTTTTCACAACATGTCGTTGCCAATTTTGGTTTTGGTTTTGGTTTTGTGCAGACTTTAATAATTTCGCGGGCAAGATCTGGGTTGACAACCAAAAATCAATGTAAAAGGAATTGCTTATGAGTTCGTGGCATGCTGTCAAGGGGCAAGTGGCAGGGAACATTTTATTGCCATTGAATTATTCAAGATAAGCTGGAAAAGGTGCACAGCTCGGACCGAGTGCAGTCAAATCCGAAGGGAAATTCGCTTTTCAATTACTTTATACTTGCCAGGGTTTGTCCGGCGGAAAAAATTAAGTGCCTTTTCTGACCTCACACATATAATCCGCTGCTCATAAAATATAGATTTTTTTTTTGATTAAATAGCAGTGTATGATAAATTTTACCTGAAGGCAGTATTTGAAAATAAAATTTATAACAATATATGCAAGTGAACGCTGGTCAGCTGGTTCATTTATAAATACAGACAATTTTTAAAAACAAAAATAAATCCTGCTTGGAATATTCAGAAAACTGCTTGATTCATAAATACAATGGATGTCTTAGCTGAAAATTATTTGGTTATATGGACAGAAATAAATCGTGCTTGGGAAATGAATAAAGCTGCTTAATTTATAAAAACAATAGATGTCTTTGTAGACAATTTTTTTCTTATATGGACTGAAATAAGTCCGGCTTGGAATTCTAATAGGCCCTTCGAATGGAGGCTTTACCTGAAGGAGGAGAAGGAGGAGGTTGTGCTGCAGCTGTTTTAAAATTAGTAGAATGTCTCTATAGTTTAAAGAGCCCATACCTGTGTTGTATTAAACTTGCTCTGCATACGAATAAGAGAAATCCATCCAAGTGTGTTATCTCTGCCATTCATGCTTCAAAATATTACTCTTTTCGTACAGAGAAACAAGGAGAAATGGCAGGGATGGATAGGTTTAGGTTCGTCTAGTCATGTGCCTATAAAATGGGGTCTGCCACGCCTTCTTCATTAAGACTTTCTAGTATTAAAATGGTCAAAAAAATCTGCAGCTTAGATTTCAGTTCATTCCTTAAATATATAATAATTAGCACCGTACATTCTATTATAGATATTACAAGATTAGCGTTCAACTATTACGCGCACATTTTAAAAATAACTTTAAAAAAAGTGTCATATTTTCATTTGTTTTAACCAGACATTTATGAAAAGCCAGTTTCTCTCTCACATTTGCTTTCACTTCAAAGTGAATGCGATTTGATTAAAATGAAAGTTGATTTCCGCGGAAGTTTGCTGCAAGTCTGTTTGTCGGAGTGAAATATTTTGTATATTTGCGCACTTTGCACATCGTTGACTTCAAATACAGTGGCAAGTTAATGTTTCATAAATAAGCATAAGCAGCCTCAAAGCACATGCCAGGCACCGCAGAAAAACCATGCCCTTTTATTTACTTACATGCCCGCACACCAGGCGCCTTCACTTAACACTGCAACACGGGCTCTGGCGCTGGCTCTCGTTCAGGCTAAGGCTCATTCCCAAAGCCCAAAGCCAGCGTATAAAGCGACACCGCCAACTGTGCACACACACACACACACACACACATACAGAGCGGGGGAGATATTCATATTGAGGAGGCGAAAGCTCCCCATGGAGTCATAAACATTTCGCACGCTGCCAGCCACAAAAGCCGCGTGCGCATGCCGGACACAATGCGGCTTATCAGGCAGCCGGGGCTGCTGGGCCAGCAACTACAACAAAATGCGGAAAAAACGAAAAAAAAAAACAGGAATGAATGAAAAGCGTGGCCAGCAAACTCAAAGCGTATACGCCAGGTTGGCTTTGATGCGCGTGCAATTTTTAGTAACGTCGAGTTGCTTTTTTTACGCTCGCAGAGACTGGTCTCTTAATGGCCGGCAGCGCTTACCTCGCATGATAGATTAGTCTGGTCACAGGTGTGCGTGGCTTTGGTGTGGCTTTCAGCGACGGAACCCAAAACGCACAACAACAAAAAAACCACCACACAGCTCCGAAAACAAACTTAAAACAGACGAAACTCGTTAGATAACGACAAGCGCGCCCACATAATTACGTCACTAATTCAACGCCGCTAAGTATGCAGCACTTTAAATGCGCTGCAGTTTTTAAAGCCAACACAAATGCCGGAAACAACACACACACACAAGCACTAACACATGCAACCAGCCTTCGCATGACAACTGCTGAAAGGTGCAATGTCCTGTCTAACACCAACAACAGCAACAACAAAGTTCATTGTTGACTCGCCAGTTTTCTCGCTTTCTGTGTGTAGGTATGTAGCTACTTGTATGTCCGAGTGTCTGTCTGTCTGTCTCTACGTTTATACGACTGTTGGTACAGTGAAACGTACTTAAAAATAATCGTGATTTTCGCTAGCTACAAAAAGTATTACTATATAACGCGTATCGGATATCTG